TTTAAAGAATGAAATCAAATGAAGATTGAAAATACAAATAGAATAAAAGTAGAATAATGTAAAGAAAGTGTAATTAAAAATATTTACAGGTGAAGAAGAATGTGTTTACATATGTTATTGAATTTAATTGCGTTTTTTTGTGATGATATGTACAAGTGTGGTGAATGAAAAGGTGTTAGAAAGACATAAAAAAACATTTGAATATATAGAAAATATTATAATGCAAATGATTAAAGTTTACAATTAAAAAGATGTGAGTTCATAGGAGTTATTTTCTACAATTATCGTCAATTTTAGTTATTTTTCTTTCTTTTGCAAGGCAAATTTTTTGTTTTACAAAAAGATTGTTGTTTGAAAAACCATTTCAAAAATTTTGTAATATTGTTTTTGTTTTTCGGTATAACATCTTTGGTAGTAAATTCGACTTTTAATTTTTACTTTTTTACAAAATTTTCAAGTCTGTTATTGAGTAGTAAATTTAATTGTATTTTTGTGTTTGTGTAGTACGGGCATTCCAATATAAGGTGTTTAGAATTTTGTATTGTGTTTGAGCAATTACATAAATCAGTGTCTGAGTATTACTGTTTGGTTCTGAGATATTTAGAGATTAATAGAAGAAAAGTAATTAAAGTTCTCGATTTAGATCAAATTGTATGAATGTTTGACAATGTTTCATTAATTGTTCATCATCATAACAATTGTCCAAATCAATAGATTCAGCAATATTGGATTTACATTTCATCAAATCATTTCGAGAAAAAAACCCTTATTCCAAAAATAAGGGTGTAAAAAAAATTACAAATTAAGAAAAAAAAATAAAAAAAGTACAAAAGGCAATATTGGATTTATAAATAACGATTCGTCCAGTATGCAACATTAGCAGATATGAGTAATAAACATCATAACTGTAATCTTTGATGACATCTTTAGTGTTTTCCAGCCAATCTCCTGAAAACATTTTACTGAAGATTTATAATATTTTGATGAAATTTTCAGGTAACATTTACAAGATGTGATGATTTCGTCGCCGAGAGGTGATTAAGGGAACGAAACAGCGTGTTGGATTAAACAAATAAACACAAAACAAAAGATTGTAGAAAATACTTTATTAAACAAAACAACACAAGAAAAAATGAAAATAACAAGATGAAACGTGTGATGATCATTTGACAAAAACTCAAATGAAAAGCTCTTTTTTTTAAGACAAAAACTGTCAGCCTTTATATATTCATCATGTTGTTGATGAGCTTGACGTGGCTGCCTGTGCTACAAAATGCACATTACAAAGCCAATATACGTTTGTCATCGATAACAAATCTGTCATGAAGCAAAAACAATCTAAAATCAAGTTCGATGTTCCGAACTTAAATCTTTGTTCTATTCGAACTTTTGTTTTATTCGAACTTTTGTTCTTTATTGTTCTAAACTATTTTTTAAGTCATTCGGTGTCTAGAAGCGAATCATGAATAAACTATTAGATTTATCAAAAAACTAATTCACGTGTTCGCTAGATTTTTTTTGCATGTGTTTTGGTTTTTTCACACAAATCCAACATCGTAATTATCTGGATTATTCAAAAATCAAATAAATGATATCGTATCATTCGATTTGAATGTATAGATAGTTGATGTAAAGCCAGTCTTTCTCAACCTTCGATTTTTTAACATTATCTTCTATTAAAAAAGTATGCCACGGCACACTGGTTGAGAAAGACTGTGTTAATCCAAAAGTTATTGTTAATTTGAAATGCATTTTTGATGCTTCAAGAAATGATTTCGGTTCACCATCCATTTTTTTATTAAAAAACATTTTTTTCGGTTTTCTATACTCAATTCATAATTATGAGATGAATTATCCATAGTGAAGCGGTACCAGGGTTTCCGGTAAAGCCATAGTGTAGATAAAAATAAGGCTACACACGTGAAATGTATTCACTCAGAATAATAACTGACTTTATATTAGAATAATCGAACTACTTTTATAACATGCTCGAAAATATAGAGAGGATTAGAACGATATCCGGTTTTGTATAATTTAAGTTGTTGAGCAGGAAAAAATAGAGCTTTTCATATTGAATGTGATGAAGTGTGCTTGAGATTGAATTTGGATGCAATCTATATTTCACAATCCATCCACAATAACATGTTATGGAATTCCAGAACAAATTGCGGTCCAACCATTTTCTGGTCACAATATTTTTGATTTGGCTATTAATCCAACCACTGGAAATGAAACCAGTGATGGAGTATTTCGCTCATTTGAATCCCAAAGTCCTTACTGACAATACTCATTTAAGTCTCAGGAATAAATTTAATTCGTATTCGTGACTGTAAGACTATGGTCCGTTCTATAAGCAATTATTTTGACATTTTTCAAATGAGTGTTCATGATTGTAAAATTAGAAGACTCTATTTTTTCGGTCAATACATTAAAACAATCAATTCCCAAAGTAAATAGAGTTATTTTGACATTTTTCAAATGAGTGTTCATGATTGTAAAAGAAAAGGTTGCGGAAGATCAGTGACGAGAAATTTACAACTGTATTGTTTCTGTAGAGAAATGTAAATACATATAATACGAAAATACATTTTGGTCTTGTTTGCAAATTACAGGCAAAACTAGATTCATCTAGCTTAGCACCATCAACACCAATATCTATGAATCCGGAAACCAACGTGGGCTCTAACCGATCCTCTACACCATTATCTGGTTCAACAGCCAATGCGAATTTAAATCGTTCACCAACGCCAGATAATAATCCAAATAACAGTATTGTAGTTGCAAACCGATCCATGCAAAATATTCAACCATTATTGCGGCTATCACCAATATTAACAAGTCAATCACCACCGATCAACAACGTTCTAAACCATGGTCATCCAATGAAAGTCAAAGCTGAAGATATGCCTAAATTCAACGGTTCAGCTATTCAATGGCCAGAATTCAAAGATGCTGCCCTTGAATTAATTGTCAACAATACATTGATTCCAACGGCAAACTCTAAATTTCGACGTTTATTCAGTGCATTACCGTTAGAAGCACAGACTCGAATAAGGAATCAACGTGAAAATCCGAATTTCGCAACTATATTCAACATTCTCGATAAATTTTATGGTTCACCGGCGATCATTATTAAGGAATTAACAAGTAAAATATATTCATTACCGTATCTGCGCTTGGATGCTGGGCCGAGCTTGTATGCCAAATACTACGATTTATTGTTGAACGTCCGGTCGATAAAA